TTAACTGGAAAATCAAAGTAAAGGCTGTGTTTGAATTGCTTATTCGCAGTAGAAGGAACTTCCACTTATATGACCAGCAAAGAAAACAACTAGTTCAGGTGTTTTCTGGGATGCTGCATACCACTGCTAAGCGGCCAAATGAGACCACAGAAGGGCAAGAAGAAGGGCCAGAGAAGGAGCGTAGGCAGGTCAAAGGCAAGGAAGCTCAGAGAGTGCAGGGTCTCAGACCTGTGAGGAGTTCTCATTGCATACACACTTTTTTTCCTCAGTTTCCTGGGTGCTGGGACTGGTGTTAGGCTCTGAGGGTACAAAGATACTTAATACACAGTCTCCAGCATTTTAAGAGGGGTAGAGTCAACAAGATCAAACACTGCCAAGAGACTGAAAGGGATGGGCCAAGAAAAGGCCATTGGTTCGTGACCACAGGTGACCTGTGTGAGTGTACCTCAGTGGAAGGGCTGAGATGGAAGCCAGACTGCAGGACGTTAAGTCATGGATAGTAAAGAAGGGAGGTGTGCTCCCTGGTTACTTATGGCCCTGGTAGGAAGAGGGAAGGTATATTCAGGAGAGCAGGCTTGAGGGATGGTTTGGAGACTTCAAATCAAAAAGTTAAATTGGAGGGACCGGCCCAGCGGCACAAGTGGTTAAGTGCGCGTGCTGCGCTGCGGCAGCCCGGAGTTCGCCGGTTCGGATCCCGGGCGCGCACCGACGCAACGCTTGGCAAGTCATGCTGTGGCAGCGTCCCAGATAAAGTGGAGGAAGATGGGCATGGATGTTAGCCCATGGCCAGTCTTCCTCAGTAAAAAGAGGAGGATTGGCAGATGTTAGCTCTGGGCCGATCTTCCTCACAAAACAAATAAGTAAATAAAAAAGTTAAATTGGAAAGAAGTTGAGAGTTATGAAGGCATTTTACAACAATTTCTTAATCTGGAAAATAAATTCATTCCCCTAAATCCAGCAATTCCACTCACGGACTCTAGCCTAAGAAAATAATCAGACTAGGGGAGGACAATGGAAGAACTTTAACTCTTTATTCTATACACTTACATGGAATTTAAAGTTCCTACAATAAGCATGCATTTTATCACTTTAAAATAAAGATGTGGGGGGCTGGCCCCCTGGTCAAGTGGTTAAAGTTCCGTGTGCTTCACTTCGGCAGCCCAAGTTCATGGGTTCAGATTCTGGGCACGGACCCACTCCACTTATCAGCCATGCTGTGGAAGCGTGCCACATATAAAGTAGAGGAAGACTAGCACAGATGTTAGCTCAGGGCGAATCTTCCTCATCAAAAAAAATAATAATAAAAATAAAAATAAATATTTGTAGTACTAAAAACGAAAAAAGCTGCAAACCTCTATACATAAAATAGTCATATCATTATACAATAACAAAATACAGAAAATGACTTTAATGTCCAATACTAGGAGAAAGAATAAGAAAAAAGGGATATAATTATATCCTAGGAGTTTTTGCAACAAATCAAAGTAATGAAAAGCATGTAATAACATGAAAAAAAAAATCTCATCAATTTAGTGAGGACAAAAAGGCCAAAAATGTAATGTAGGCTATGATTATATAATGTAAAAATATGCACAGAAAAACTGACTGAAAAATAAACCATACACACCAACAACCATACAGGAGTTGTGTTAGCATGCTGAGACTTAGGTGGCTTTCTCTTCTCCACTTGTTAACAGTTTTGCAAAAACAGCATGGTTTTACTACTGCTTTCATTTTTAACAGACAAGAAACACGCACGCCAAGAAGAAAAATCAAAATGATGCTGTAATAGACAAGCTGTCAGAGGAGCAAATGAGGGCTTGAGAAGGGAGCCGTGCGGCCCGGCTCTACGCACAGACATTGCGGGAGCCAAGCAGAGCAGCGCCCATGTGCCCACCCGGGCTCATCGGACCTCTCATAGCCTCAGCTAACACACACAGAATAAGTGCTTTGGAATCGATAATCTCTGAAGTCCCTTCCACACTTAAAATTGCATGATTCTAAGTTGAAAAAACTGAGAAATCAGAGAACAGACAAGAGAAATTAGAACTTTCTCCAGTTTCTCACATAACATAGTATACAGGTGTTGCAGGGGTCTGAGTATTTAGACAAAAAAGTACAAGCACTATTGGTCATTTAATAAAATATTCATACTACCTCTAGTTCTAAAAGAGGCTTACAAATTAACTGGAACAAAACAGTTGGCTGTAAAGTTAAAAATTATTTCAAAATAAAATAACATAAAACAAAAATATTTAGGTGAAGCTGCGAGGCCACATGATTAGCTGCCTTAAAGCTGCAGATAATCACTTCTCCAGGAGTTACAAGAAGGGTAGATGGTGGGGGGTGGCAGTGGGGGGGTTACAGGCGACAGCGCTATCGACAATTGTGGGGGGAGACTGACTTGAGTTGGCCCTTAAAGAATGGGGACTGGGTTTCTTTTTGGGGTGATAAAATGTTCTGGAATTAGACAGTGGTACACAGTTACACAACCTTGTGAATATACTAAAAATTACTGACTTTTATAATTTAAAAGGGTGAATTTTATGATATATGAATTACATCTCAATTTAAAAAAAAGACGTGGTCAAAGTGTAACTAAGTAGAATAGCGTGGAAAAAAACAAAGGTACACCAAGGAGAGTAATGAGGAGAAAGGGAGGTTGGAAACAAATTTTAAAGGGCTCGGAATGTCACAAAAAGCTAATTGGAAATGATCATCCATGAGACAGTAAGGGAAGCAAAGACTCACAGACAAAAGAGTGAAAGATCAGACAAGCTTTGAGAAAGACGTCTGTTTCCTCTACTGGAAAAAACAGGCCTCAGGTAAGCAGGGGCCAGTCCTGTTCACTTGATAGGTACTCGAGTGTCTCAGGTGAGTTTATGAGTGATGAGCATTGGAAGGTTACCTGGTTCCATGTGCAAGAGTAAGGCAGAACCAAGGCTGGGTCAACTGTAAGGCTAAAATACAAATTAGTCTGGGCCTAAGCAACTCGACTCCATATCAGGATCTTTTACAGAGAGGATAGAAAGGCTGGGAAGAAGCAAGAGATTTTCCAACAGTCTTTCCTCTCCATCAATTACATGAAATATATTTAATAGGTTTAAATGCAAAAATGTTACATAGTTGAGCTCTAGATATACAAAACTAAGCCTCTGAACAGATTCCACTTGTGTAAACAATAAGAGAAAAAGGAAAGGGAGAAGAAAAAGAGAAATGCAAGGTAAGTAGAAGAGAAAGAAATGGTGAGGTGGCCACTGTCTCTTTAAGAAGCTCCTTGGAGATACATAACTGTAGAGGGCCTGGTGAATACAACATTGATTGAGAATGAGGTAACCACAAACACCACTGTCTCAAATGAAAAGGGATTCAAGATCTGACCCAGAAAACAAGCATCGTAACCACCAGATAAAATTTTAATGATAAACACAAGATGCTCTACATACCAGCAAGATTGAAGTATCTGATGCTAGGCCATAAACGTAAGGTTCTCGTAGAAAGAGGAGCCGTGAGGAGCCTCTGACCCACAGATCAAGTTTCATCTTATCGATCCACAAAACTCTGCCATCGCTTTACAGATTATGCCAGCACAGAGCAATGCTGAGCAGACCTCAGGGGAACAGAGAGGCAGGCAAAGAAGGACTGGCATCTGGACTCATGGCCAGCTTGCCTTGTGTAAGGTCCATGTCCGGTAAGAAATTTATAATCGGCTTTTCAGACTCAAGTCTCCTTTACTCCTAATTTCTTTCATAAATCTTTCAGTCCAATCTCAACATTCTGTCCTCGAGTATCTTCTGACACTTTAGGAGACCCCGTTAAGCTAGAATGATAAATGCCTTTCAGAGTTACCAGGGAGTCTCAGAATTAGTGGGAAGAAAGGACCTTACTATCATGAGCAAGTCTTAGGCCCACACTTGAGCAATGAGAGGCAGAAGCCGAAAGCCACACTGATAACTGGATGGACAGATTTCTGGTCCACTAATCTTTCTAAAAATAATGGTTCTATAGCACTCCCAAGAAGAGCATTAACCTCTAAATTGTGGCTGGTAAAACAAAAGCTAAAGAAAAGCATTCCTCTTGGGCATATCCTGTTTAAAGTAAAAATACTTCATTCATAGGTATTACATACAACAAAATATTAAAATAATCTGATTGTCTGGAATTTCCATTCAAATAGTGCTCTTTAAGGAAAGATTTTTCTTTAAAGAAAAAGACTCCCCTACTACTAAGTTAAGTCCAAGGTCTGTTGCCGTTTTCCTCCAGGAAGGAACCTGTGTTAGGTGGCTCACTCCAAAGCCAATCCAGACTCAAAGTAAGTGTCCTGGTCTCACTTTATAGCATTATGTATACAATTTGAGACCACAGTTCAAGATATCTTCTTAATCCAAAAAGAAAATTGCTCTTCTCATCATACATTAAAGAAATACATAAATGCATCTCTGTAGTAAAATATGAAGAATTCATAGAAGTGGTTTTTGGAACAGAAGCCAAAGAAATCTACAGAAGCTAAAATTAAATTTCTTGGCCATGGAGACAAATAAAAAGCCTATTTCAGGACAAGTTAAATAGCAAATATGCACTGTGTGGTGGAGAAGGAAGGTTATGTGTGGCCACAGCCCTTCTGCATAATAAAGGCTTCAAATAAGAGAACAAGAACAGGACCTGTTTGTGCCAACACTTATTACTCTTGCTTGACTTTTTTATGTCTTCATAAAACACAAACTGTTTGCCTTAATGAAAATCTAACATAACATGCCACAAGAGTGGTCTAAAAGCTAGGAAAGATGTTGAGATGGATGGATTACAGATTCACTCTATACCATTCACATCTCTCCACTGACTTCAGAGCTCTCAGGTATTGGGAACAGACTCATGGAGATTTTCCATCTCAGATACATATTCTCAAGGGAAAATAAGGTCACTGGGACTCAGAATTTGGTCCATGAAAAATGAAAGACCCTAAGATGAAGAGTATTAAGTGAAAAATTGTTTTTGCTTACCCAGCAATGACAACACCATCATGAGAATGCACATCACATAAAACTGCATCAGGAACGGGTTCCAGCTCACTCACAGCACCCTTGCGATTCTGTGTAAGGAAAAGGGGGATGCGGTTTATACTATTCTTGGGATAGCCGGAAGACAAAGCACCTTGCTTTCACCTACATTCCATAGCGATTTCTTACGGCATGTACTGTGTTCAAAGTAATGTGGGCATTCGAAAGGACAAAGATGACAATAATATGTTAAGCTATTAGCATTTACAAGTTACCAATACACGAAAAGCACTGAACTAGAGGGCACGGGATGTGGGAGATGCTGCCCCTGTACTCAAGGAGATTACAGGATATGGAGGAAATACGTGAGCACAAATAACTACACTCCACAGTAGGCTGGTAACGGCAAATGTCTGAAGAAAGGCATAAAGTACAAAAAAAAGTTTAGTTCAGAGGAGAGAAAGTATTTAATGATATTTTACCTGTTAACAACCCTTATAAGTACTCTCAGAATAAAATGAAAAAGTATATACAAAGAGACAAAAATCAGGATGGGGAAAAGGAAGAAGAGAAGACATTATTTCTGATTGAGAGGTCAGAGGTTCATGAAATGGTATTTAAAGGAAACCCTAAAACCCATAACATGGGTTGTTCCTCAGGAGGAAACTAGTTGGTAGGTGGAGAGAGGCGAGAGGGAGATGTATTTTCCACTATATGCCCTTTCATGACTTTCGAATTATTTGTAGCAAGATCATTATTATCAATTCAAAATATATATATAAAATAATTATTTTAAAAATAAAAATAAAGGAAATCTGAAGGAATATAAAGTATTTACATGTGGGATGTTGGGAAGAGTGGGACAGTTAAGCCAAAAAGCAAGCATGAATACAGGTATTCAAGAATACCAAGTAATCCATAATTTCAATTTTGCTGGACTGGCACAGGATTAGAAACAGTCTAAGTTCCAAGCATAGTTCTTAGCATACATCAAGCATTTAATAAATGGTAGCTTCTATTATTATTATTTATATTCGAAGAAAGATGACATCCATTCCATTAAAATCAACATTTATTAAGCAGCTATATTCCAGGCACAGTGCAAGATAATCTGCACAATGATCTCACTCAATTTGAGGGCCAAGTCCAAGGCTGAGGGACAAAACCGGACACATCCAAGTGGATCTGTCCTGCTAGTGGAGATATGAGGACGGAAAGGAAGGACGTGGGAGTCATCTGTGTGAGGGCCACAGCCAAAATGATGAGAACAGCAAAAGGTATTGAAAGAAAAGAAGAGGGCCTGGGATGAATACCTGTGGGCTTATAGCATTTACTAATTTCTGTCATATGGCTTCCCTTCCCCTCATAGGCTCCAACCCCACACTGGTATTCTGGTCTTAGAGAGATTCTAGAATGCCAAAGCAAAAAAGAGTTTATGCAAATATCAGGAAAAGGAATATACAGTCACCACAACCAGCTTATCAAACCTTTTCCACACTGGCTCTGAACTGCAGGTCTAAGTAAGTTCACACATTTATAGGTGATGCTCTATGCAGAGGTACCTGAGAACTCTGGGGTCCCTTCTGGGGTTTCTCCAGACACTGACTAGGAGATACCAAACCAAATCACCTGCCCAACCCATCCTGAAGCTAACCAAGAATAGCACTGAACCACAGCATGTGTATGCAAAGGCCTCTGAGCTTCCAAGGCCAACAGTAACTGAGAATGGGACATGGGCCAAGCCCTACAGGAGGATCCTTAGACGCATCTTTAGACAGGCGAGGGCCACAACCCTATGAATGGGGCTATTCTGAGCCCCACTTTAGGGATGAGAAAACGTAGGCTACAACGGGGTAAAGCACCTTGCTGTAACACTACCTTTCATGTTTTGATAGGGCTTTCTTTCTAGAATCACAATAAGAGTCCTATCATTACAATTAATGTAAGATGCATCATTTAACATTTCACTTAGATAGTCCTCATTCTAGCAGTGTCAGGAAATGGGCCTGGGACACCCCAGAGAGAAGCCTCCCTCACATTCTGCCTGCAGTCTTACTCCAGCTCATCCCATCGACAACCATTTACTGAGCACTTACCAAACAAATGGATTGGTGCTTGTTAGAGAAAAAACAATAAACAGACATTCAGGTAAATTGTATGTCACTTGCATACTGTTATTAAGGGCCAGATGCTATGAGGTGGGTCTTTAAACACCTTCACTCTGCCACCTCCAGTCCAGATGAGGTGGTACCTGCCTCCCTCCCACCCCCTCTCTATTATCAAAGAGGAAACAAAGAACTTAGCTGCTGCTTTCTCTCTCAGGGTGTGACATCTCTGAATTCGAGCCAGGGTACACTGACTATCTCCAGTTCCCATGCTCACAAATCTCAAAAGGATCCCTCTTTTCCACACAGAGAGGCCCTAGTTAATGCCCAACTCTCAAGCTTTCTTTAAATTACAGCCCCTCCGACCAGGGTCAGACCCTCTGCTTTCTGGCCCCCCAGCTGTCTAAGCCGCTTTGTCAAAGCCTCAGGCCCGCCCCTCACTTGTGTCCCTCACACAGACCTGACCAAGCACACATCAAGAGAGTTGGGGGCCTCCACATGAAGTTATTACCTGGTGTGGATGCAGCTGCGGGGCCAGCATGATTTTTACTTAGTGGTGGTGTTTTAATGGCCCAAGAAAGGACAGCTATGCTAATTCTCCTTAGGAAGGTGGTTTACAACCAGGGGTGATTTTGCCCCCAGGGGAACATCTGATGATGTCTGAAGACATTTTTGTCATGACTGCAGGGAGGAGGACAATGCTACTGGCATCTACTGGGTAGAGGCCAGGGATGCTGCTCAACATCCTATAATACACAGGACAGCCCTCACCAAAAAGAATTATCTGGCCTCAAATGTCACTAGTGCCAAGGCTGGGAAATCCTGAATTAGAGAAACACTGCTCTTTAATACTTTGCTAGGAAAAAACTGTGCGGTTCCCCAGATCAAGAGTATCGGTCACTAATCAGGTTATGAGGTGACTGGGGACAGACGTGCACATAGGCAATATGTCACCATCAGTAATGAGCAAAAGCTTGTTAATCTCAAAGTCTATTAGGATTGACCTTCACAGAAGAGGAGAGAGTATGGTTCTATCCCTTCCATACAACTGGATATCCAGCTACCCAGGTGGGAGAAACACTCCACCACACGGCTGTCTCATCATGCTCAAACAGCCTTAGGTAACACTGCTCTCGACAGTTATTTCCTATAGAAACACTTCACTGTGAAAATTCTTAGCTGTGATCTAATATTTCTGTAGAGATTTTGAAGTGATAAATGTTATGGAAGCAAGCCAATAGGTTATGTGAGGGAAGAGAAGACAGTACTTAGAGACGTTTAATACATTTACTGGAAACAGCATTTTCAGCTCCTCTTTTGTATTCAGGTGGTGCTTTTGCTGTCTTGATCCATCCAGATGGTGAAAGTGAAGGGGGCTGCGCTGAGCACTCCTCCCAAGATCCTAACCACCAGAGGAGAAGGGACTGGCACCTCAATCTCCCCCTTCCTCTCCTGGAGAACAACAGGACGCTCCCAAATACTGTGGTTGAAAATGGTGGCAGATACTCTAATGGCGAACAAAATGGACAACAAAGCACCAACAACTGAGGGGCGCTCACCATACTCCTCTCTTTGCTTTTGGCAGTTAACCTCGGGCTGTAATTGGAGGGACTCCGTGTTTAATCCCAGGCTTGGATTCCCGTGTCCTGGTAGGCTACTCTTCTACAGGTAATGATACTGGCCACTGCCTACCTTCCAGTTGGTTCTCAACATGTGTTCCTTGGCTCGGCACTCTTGGAAGATGAGCTTCCAGCAAGAATAATCAGAGATGCTGCTCTGGGGAAGGTGCCCTTCCTGCTGGCACAGCCTGTACCAGAGCACTTCATCTTCTGCAATCACCTTCCACGTCTTGCTCACCTAAAACAGAAGTGACACAAGTGTCAGATTCTGCAATTAGAGAAGCCCTTTGTCATCCAAAAATCAATCAACACCTTTATTGTTGCCCTGGGTTTATGGCAGTATAAAATGTCTCATTAACAAAACACTCAGAGGTAAAAAAAAAAAATACAAGCAAATGTTTCCATTTTATCTTTCAAGGTTTCAAAATTGTTGTACTACTATATAATATCACATTTTAGACTATTTGGTTAAATTATTATATAATATAAGAGAAAAATACACAAAAGGCAAAAAATAGACACTGTAACATGTTAATAGATACACAATCATACAGAGCTTTTCAGAACAGAATCTCTACTTTTTAGCAAGAGGCACTTGCATTTCCATCTTATACAGCTGGAGACTGATGGCCTCTGAAATAAAAAGCTGTAATAAAATAAACACTCATAACTCAAAACTTCTGGTCCTATTCAAATTTATATTATGTGTGAAAACTTAGATTTTAAATATGTAGATTAAAAAATATTTAACAGATAATGTACAACAAAAATTTCACAATAAAAAAAATTTTTTAACAGAAAACTCGAGCTGTGAACCAGGTCCATAAGATCTGATATACAGAAATTAGTGCTACGTCTGGACGGAATTTCAAATCCCAACAGTATCAAGAGGAAATGGCCATTTTAACTATTAGTGCTTTGTCTTCCAACCCTAACTGAGGGGAAGGATGGGTTTCTTCATTACAGGATAATGTACAAAGTTGGGCAGACTGCAAAAGATGGACTCTGCTGGCAACAGGAGCAACTGATCCAGCAGATCAACACGCTTTCGGTCTGCAACACACTCTGCTTGCTGCCCATCCAAAGGCTGCCATCACTTCCAATAAATAACAGTCATGACCAGTGGTTTACAATAACCTGTGCTCCTTAACAATCCCTCGGGACCACTTTAAGACATCAAATACGCACACAAGAAGAAGAACCATGAGACAAAGTAAGGCAGAGAGCATACAGCATGTGCACGGCAAACTCTCATTGCACAAGGGTGCCTTGTTTAACAAAGTACTGATGGGGAGTTAACTTTCAGGACTGCAGAGTAAGATCTAAGAAAAATCTGCTCCTCCATAAAAGCAACAAGAATACTGCCAAAAAGTGTCAGTCAATTTTTTCAGAACTCTAGAAATTAATTAAAGGCTTGAAACATTCTGAGGAGCATTTATTCAAGAAAAACGGCTGAATCTTGATAAGAATAGCAACCTTTGTGTTGTTTTAACTTGCACTAATCCCATCCTCCTCCAGCCCATAGTAACCTTGAAAACCAACATCCTTGCCCCTATGGTAGCTGTAAAAACCAGTGGCCTAGCAGCCACTGGGGAGGCGAGATGGGTGCACAGCTCCCCAAAAGTGCCATCCCCAGAGAACTGTCACCATTTGATTTGTCCGGCAGCTTGCTGCAAAGCTCTATTCTGAAGGCTTGCCTTTATCTGATCTGACTTAGATCTTGCTCTGTCCTATCTCCAGAGTATTTCTCAGAAACCATAAGGGACAACTGTTTGACATTGCAGCTGCCTGAGGCAGCATTAGCAACTGGGGCTAAAGACGCTGACCAAAAGGCTTAAAAGGAAAACCTAGGGAATGGGATGTCCATAGGGGGCTTTGAAAGGCTCCAATATATTTCCAGGACTCAAGAATGCCATGAGCATGCGTAGGACTGTGTGTGAGCCCAGGAAAGACCTGGGAAGGCCCTGATCTTTCCACTCTGGCTAACCTTAAGGCTCTACACAAGCAGGAAGTGAAGGCTAAGGCAGAGATGTGAACTGCTGACATGCTGAAGGCATGCCCCAACATACAGAGAGCACCTCAGCAAAGGCTGGGAGACCTATTGGTTCAATGTACTTAAGGAAATCTCTGCCTGATCCCTAGCTAACCACTAAGCTAACTGAGCAGAGATTTCAGTGGTCGCACATGACAAAGAGTACAAACTAGACAGTTAGTTCAGAAAAGTCACCAAACAAACAGCAGCAACAACAAACCCTCTATAACGGAGAGAATATGATTTCCAGAGTTGTCACATTATTTTAAAAGTCCATTTTTTAACAAAAAATTATGACATGCAAAGAAACAGTAAAGTATGATCCATATACAGGAAGAAGAAGCAGTCAATGACCCTAAGGAAGTCCAGACATTGGGCTTACTGAACAAAGACTCTAAATCAGCTATTATAAATATGTTCCAAATACTAAAGGAAAGCATGTCTAAAGAAATAAAGGAAGGTATGAGCACAATGTTTCATCAAGTAGAGAATATTGATGCAGAGAGAGAAATTTTTTAAAAAGAACCAAATAGAAGTTTTAGAGTTGAAAAGTACAGTAATTGCAACAAAAAATTCACTAGAGAGGCTCAACAACAGATTTAAGCTAGTGGAAAAATCAGCAAACTTATGGTCAATTAAGATTATCTAGTTTGAGAAAGAAAAAGAATGAAAAAATAAACAAAAGAAAAACCAAAAAATAATGAACAAAATTAACAGAGCCTCAGAGACCTGTGGAACACCATCCAGATGAATCAACATAGGCATTATGGGAGTCCCAGAAGGGAAGGAGAGAGATAAAGGAGTAAAAACACTATCTGAAAAACTAATGGCCAAAAAATTCCCAAATTTGATGAAAAACAATCTACAAGTCAAAGAAGCACACAAACTCCAGGAAGATAAACTCAGAGATCCCCACACCTAGAAACATCATAGTCAAACTGCTGGAAGCCAAAGACACAGAGAATCTTGACAGTAGCAAGAGAAAAAGACTCACTGCAAACAAGGGATGCTGCATTTCTCATCAGAAACCATGGAGATCAGACAGCAGTGGGACGGCATGTTCAAAGCACTGCAAGAAGAGACTGTTCTTGCAGTCTCCAATAACCCTACACCCACCAAAGCTATCCTTCAAAAATAAAGGAGAAATTAGATATTCCCAGATACACAAAAAATGAGAGAACTCATCACTAGTAGACTTGCCCTACAAGAAAGACTAAAGGGAGTCCTTTAGGCTAAACTGAAAGGAAACCAGACAGTAACAATCTGCACAAAGAAGTACGGTACACCACTCAATGGCACTACATAGGTAAATATAAAAGACAGCACAAATGTATTTTTGCTTGCAACTCTTTTCTTCTATCTGATTCAAAAGACAACTGCCTAAAACATAAAACTGTGTTGATGGACTTATAAAGACATAATTTGTATGAAGCAAGGAGAGGGAACAAAGTTATATTGCAGCAGTTAGGGTATACTATTGAAATTAAGTTGATATTAATCCAAACCAGATTGTTTTAAGATGTCAATTGTAATCCCCAGGGCAACCATTAAGAAAACAACTCAAAAAAATATAGTAAAAGAAACAAGAGAATTAAAATGGTATGCTTGGGCCCACCCCGTGGCTTAGCGGTTAAGTGCACGCGCTCCACTGCTGGCGGCCCGGGTTCGGATCCCAGGTGCGCACCAACACACTGCTTCTCCAGCCGTGCTGAGGCCGCGTCCCACATACAGCAACTAGAAGGATGTGCAGCTATGACATACAACTATCTACTGGGGCTTTGGGGGGAAAAAAAATTAAAATGGTATGCTAGAAAAATATCTACTTAACACAAAAGAAGGAAGTAGTAAAGCAAAAGAGAAACAAAAAATACGTAAGACATACAGAAAACAAACAGCAAAATGGCAGACGTAAATGCTTCCTTGTCAGTAATTACATTAAACGTAAATGGACTAAGCACTCCAATCAAAAGACAGAGATCGGCAGAACAAACAAACATGATCTAACTATATGCTGTCTACAAGAGACATACTTTAGACTCAAGCACTCAAATAGGTTGAAAGTACAAGAATGGAAAAAGATATATCATATAAACAATACCCAAAAGACAGCTGGAGTAGGTATACTAATACCACTTAAAGTAAATTTTAAGACAAAAATTGTTACTAGAGACAAAAGACATTTTTATGAGAGTCAGTCCATTGGGAAGTTATAACAAGTGTTAACATATACACTTAACAAGAGAGCCCCCAAATATATGAAGCAAAAAGAGATAAAATTGAAGGAAGAAATGGACAGTTCAACAATAATACTTGGAGACTTCAATACCTAACTTTCAATAATGGATAGAATAACTAAGCAGAATATCAACAAGAAAATAAAAGAACCGAACAACAGTATAAACCAACTAGACATCAGAGACATCCATAGAACACTCTACCCAACAACAACAGAGTGCACATCATTCTCAAGTGCAATGGAACATTCTCCAGGATAGACCTGAAGAATGCTAGGCCATAAAACAAATATCAAAAAATTTAAAAGGAATGAAATCATACAAAGTATGTTCTCTGACCACATGGAATGAAATCAGAAATCAATAACAGAAGGAAATTTGGGAAATTCATAAACGTGTGGAAATTACACAACACACTCCTAAATAACCAGTGGGTCAAAGAAGAAATTCTAAGAGAAACTAGAAAACATTTTGAGATGAATGAAAACGAAAACGGAACATATAAAACTTACGAGACACAGTGAAAGCAGTGCTTAGAGGGAAATTTATAGTTATAAATTCCTATATTTAAAAAGATCTCAAATCAATAACCTAGCCTTCCACCTTAAAAAACTAGAAAAAGAGAAAACTAAACCCAAAGCAAGCAGAACGAAGAAAATAAAGATTATGACAGAAATAAATGAAATAAAGAAAATGAAAGAAATAAAAGTTATTTGAAAAGATCAATAAAACTGACAAATCTTTATAAACCAAAGGAAAAAAAGAGAGAAGACTCAAATTACTAAAATCAAGAATGAAAGAGTGGCCATCACTATCAACCACAAAAATGAAAAGGATTATAAGGGAATACTACGAACAATTATACACCAACAAATTAGATAAACTAGATGCAATGGACAAATTCTTAGAAAGACACAAAGTACTGAAACTAACTCAAGAAGAAATAGAAAATCTGAATAGACCTATAACAAG